TAAGATACTCCAACGCTGAACCATAGCTGCAGAGCTTCTGGAAAGGGATTTCCCAGGATCGAAAATGAATTTCAAGGCCTCATGATCGGTAACAATGGTGAAATTATGACCGAAAAGGAACTTGTGGAGGCGCTTGACTGCCCAGTATACCGCTAAGGCTTCACGATGAGTTTGAGCATAGCCTCGTTCAGCTGCTGCTAACCGGCGAGACACACAAATAATTGGATGCCCATTCTGCTCAAGAATCGCACCAATTCCATCGGGTGAGGCATCAGTAATAACAGTGGAATGAATTTTGGGATTGAATGGGTGAAGTACAGCATCAGTCTGCAGAAAATTTAGCAATTCACGTAAGCAACGTTCATGAACATCAGTCCAAACAAATTTGTCAGAAGAAGAGAGAAGAAGCTTTCTGACTGAAATTAGGAATAAATCTAGAGTAGTGATGTAGGGCTCTAATCAATGATCTGAGTTCGGTTATGTTGGACATTGGCCTGGCTGTTGTTAAGGGAAATAGACGGTTCGGGTCAGAGTTGTAAGCTTTACAATCAACCAAGTATCCAAGACATTCAAAATAAGAGACAGAAAATAAACACTTCTTAGGGTTAACAGCAACATTCTTATCAGAAAACCTATGAAAGGGTTAAAGCAATCGTGCATCATGAGTGGACTTGTCAGGGAACATGAACCATTATGTCATCTTAATATACTTCAACACCAGACATATCACTAGTAGTGTCATACATAACTTGTTGAAATATGACAAGATAAATGGATAAACCAAACTGCAAAATCTTGTATCTATACAAACCAAAAGGGGTATTAACAGTTGTCAAAGTGGATGATGTTTCATCCAACGGAATTTGTAAATATGCACCTTTTAAGTCAATCTTGAAAAGACCTTAGAACCACTCAACTTATTCAGAATGTCCTCTGGTTCAACCGTTGTACATGTCCGCTTTAAAAGTCTTGGATTTAAGGTGATTCGGTAGTCACCACATATTCTCGGGGTCTTGCCATCCGACTTGAGTGGTGTGACAATTGGTGTACCCCATGCAGAAGACGACACCTTCTCTATAACACCTTTGGAACACAAGTTGTTCAACGCATTCATGACAGGTTCGCGAAGGCCATATGGAATGACTCGGCGTTTAAGAAATACTGGATCGCCATTAACTAGTAGTCTCACTGGGGAAATTTGCATGCCACCACTGGCCTTTGAGCATTTAATAATCAAATCCTTCAATTCATTTTCAGTATCGATAGAGGTTAGTAAGGAAAGATTGACATTTAATGCTTGCATGGCTTTCAAGCCTAGTATGGATGGGCCAGATTTGGTTACAATGAATGTACAAGTAACAGTTTTAGAATGTTCATCACTGACTGAAATCTCACAAGAACCAACAACAGGCAGTGAGTGTCCAGTGATGCCATTAATGGTGACAGTGGACGGCTGAAGTTTAGCATCTGGAGCAAACAGTTTTAAATCGTGAACAGAAATTAGAGATTCCACACTACCAGTGTCCAAAATGAAATGAAGCGAATTACCAGTGGAACTGAATAGTCGTTTACGGATGTGACCGGAATGGGAGGTAATTGCCAAAGATAAAGAAGAAAAATGTTTGGCCATATTACTCACTTCTGAGTCTCGGGCTTGAATTAAACGACAGGTTTTGGTACTGCGACAAACAGGCTGAATATGGCCAGTTTTGCCACACTTATGACATAAAGCGTAACGAAGTCGACATGTGAATCTGGAATGACGTTTGCCACAGGATGCACAATTGCCATAGGATTTATCCGAATATGTCACATTGTGTGAGTTAGATTGTGTGACTGGTTTGAAACGTCCGGCTGTAGCATGAGCTTTCGTGGATTTAGTCTTGAGTGAATTGAACATGGCTGTAGATTCAATGGTGGACGGCATGGATGAAGTAGCGGCGCGAATGTCCTGATATTGTTCACGATAAGCCCGCTCCTCTTTGAACGTCGTATTGGATAGCTTCAGAAGTTCATTTTGCAAAACGGTATTGTTGATACCAGCGATCAGC